AGACAGTAGTGGCTAGATAAATGAAAGCTGGTGCACAGTGAGGTACCTTATCAATATTCATAAAAATTTTGCTCAAATCCTAGCTGCCACTGTGGTTCTGAGCGCACTGCTGACCTTGCTGATTCTGATGTACAAAATAAAGAAGAAAAATCTTAATCCAGATCATGGCTCCTTTCAATTTGCACTAGGAAATCTGGAGGAAGTCCTGTCTTGCACTTTGTAAATACCGCACCTGGAGCCCTGCAGATCCTATTGGACTGTAATTTCCAGGTATTGCTTCATTAATAGTACACACTGTTGAAAGCATCTGAAAGCAATATCTGTCAAGAACAAGAGGCAACATGCCACATAACTGATACCATTTTGGGGAAACCCATAAAAAAGACTGGGATACACATAGAACTTGAATAAGCATTTCTCAAACTGGCTTGTACTTAAGCAATAGAATTCATTACTAGCTGAAAACTGTAAGGAAAACACTTAAAATAGGAAAACCCCCAACATTTCTTTCAAACAAGCCTAAGCAGCTCCAATAGTTGTATGTTTTATTCACTGTGAATTTTATTCTCCAGTGATAGAAATACCAGGTTTGTATCTGAATACAGCTTCACATGACAACAAGAAAAAATTATTTTTGAATCCTGAAGTGAATTTTATCTTAATAGGCTAACATTGATACCGCTACTAATGTAATTGCTTTTTAACATACTGAAATCTAGTTCAACAAAGACTCCTTGTCAATATAAGCATGAAGTCTGAGCAACAGCAGTTTGTCAAATTGTGCATAAAATGACAGGTCAAAGTACTTGAAAGAACATACAAGCATTGCACCCAGTGCAGCCTTTCCAAACCACCTCTGTTTTCTCACTGATCCATGTTAGATTAAAGCGGCTATAATTCAGGTTATGAATGTTGGCTAGCATAGTCATCCAACTCCAATTTATGTACAGCAGAAATACATGCCACAAGTTCAAAATCAGGTTCTAAAGTTACCCATCTTTAAAATGTATTCAAGTCAATTTTTGAAGAGGGATTTCATTCTCATAATCACTACAAAATCACCTTAAATCGTACAAAACAGAGGAAAACCAATTTTTAGCACTGTCATTGCTCTTTTGAGCTCAGAAGAGTGAAACTATCTGTTGCCCTTCCACTCTGTATTTAGCATGTACCTCCTTTTGCAGGTCTTCCTTCCTTCTGCTTTTACTCTCCAACAGGTGGGCAGGCTATGATAGAATATCCTTGTTTTGTTTTCAAATACCTACCACCTTCTGCTCACATTGTTCTCCAGAAACGACTGCAAGTCAAAGTAACTCAGCTACTGACCTACTGCTTGGGTAGCATACACATCAACATTTAATCTCATTTCACCTACCCACATCCAGTAGCACCTGCTACGGACACATTATTAATGCAAACTTTTCAGACCTCAAAATTCTTTTCTGGTTTTTGTCATTATCATCCAGGTTACCTAAAAATTTTTTATTATCTCAAATATTGCAGATTCCTTCTAGTATTTCATATTCCTGGTTAAGTAAAAATCCTGGTTTGCTGCTTCAGTTACTGAAAATTTCTCTGTTCCACAGAGTGCTATTCTGCTCTCATCACAGCAGTAGTGATAACTACAAAATGGAGACACAGGCACAGAAACTGTAATACCAAATTAATGACCCAGAAAAACATTCCTATTTAATAAGCCCACAGTACTAAACATTTGTATATGTAAACATATATCACAAAATTCATTTCAAAATTATAAACCTGTCTTTATAACTTATTTTCCTTTTTAACCTTGGCATTTACTATTTTTTATTAAATTACCAAGCAGGTAACAAAGCCATTAAGATTGCAGACAATCTGGAATATGACTGAACCAGACCAGGAAATTATATTCGTGAATGTTCTCATCCAGGTTGCGGTCACCCCTCATGTCTCACCCTCCAGCTCAGATATGACTCTCCTCCACCAAACTGCAAGTCCTTTTGTGTTTTTCAAAAACCCTCACTGTTCTCGCTGTTGTGTGTCTATGCATACCTCCCTCGTGTGCTGAACATGGAGACCCATTACTCTATAAGTGTATCCTTACTGCCTAAATCTTGTTACTGGACCCTACATCAGTTACATACCTCAGTTTAAAGACAAAGGTGTCTAGTTTATTTTAAGAAGTACCAAGAGCTTTTACTGAACGAATGAAAACGCACATGGATAGACATGAGTAGGAAACAGGCACTAAGAGTACAAAATGTGGAAAATAATATGGTCCAGTCTACCATTCAAGATACAAAAAATGCTAACATTGAATGGCCAGACTCAGACAGCACATGCAGATAATTAGGTAGTATTTAGTTTATGCGAAAACTCCAAGTAATACCAGGAAATTACTGCTAAGTGAAAAGGTGCTGCAACACACTAATCAGGAAAGAAGCAGTTATTGTTCTTTTTATAATATTAACTTCTAAAGACGAACACAATGTGCAGCTGTGTGTAGGAAGATAAACAGGATGCTGGATCGAAGGACTATACGCATACATAAAATGCAACAGTTCTGTTGGTACTAAAACACGTCCTTGCTTGTATCTCTGGATGACATTGCCAAGGAAGCTGTAGTTTGGCTAATAAACTGTCACTTCATAACCTGGTTAGTCCCACTTAGTACAACTGCTCTGCAGCAATTCCCATCTTATCTGCTCTAAAGCCCTTCATTTGTGATGCTGTCAAAGGTGCTATATCTGAAACAAGAAATTATTTTTGCCATACTGGTTTTAAATAAATAATGATGGAAGCTTTAGCTTCCACTAAAAAGGAGAAAGTCCCAAGTCCACCTATATATAGTTAATAACATGACCATTAACTAGAGAAGTACCTAAAAGCAATGAAGTAATACTATGGAGTTTAGAGGGAGAATAAAAAAGGTCACTCCTTAAAATTTTCCTCAACATTTTATCCACAAAGCAACTCTGAGGGGAAGAATGAGAATACACATTATCTTCATTCTTCCCCCACTACTTTTGTTTGTTCCCTCCCTTTCCTCTCTAAAATTACCTGATGCTCTTGGGACAGCTCCAGCTATAGGCTAGAGGAAGGAACTGGCAAAAAGAGCAAAATGCTCAGGAATTTTGCTAGACACCGTGCAGATGTCTGTCTTCCCTACAGCAGAATCCTGAAAATCTGAGCTTGCTACCAGTACCACTCCTGCCCATTGCACAGGAGAAAGCTTAGGGTAGAACCCTACCCTCAGCTTGGCCTTCCCAAGTGAGCCCGTCTTATGGCCATCCTCAGGAGACAAAATTCTTTTCTGTCTCTGCAGCTGAGAAATCTTGAACTGGCTTTCAATGCCCAAAACAATATCTAATAAGGAACTGCTTAGCAAGGTACTCAACAGGAAAAATTACTCAAGCTTTTCTTGAAAATGTTTATATGAATCAAAATATTTTGTTTAAATACTGTATTATATTTAAAACATTTTTGCTTAAACTTTGCAGATGGACTCTTACAAGAAGTTTGCTTTGGAAAACTGAAACTAGTGTTAAAAATAAAGATGTGAGATGCAGCAAGCATATGTAATATAATCCCTATGAAATGGCAAAGCCAGTGACTCACATTGTTCGATAGTAGAAGGAACAATCACTTGACAGAATCAATTTCACACATTCTGTCTGTTTGGCTCTGGCAGTTTATCAGTTGTATAGTAAAATTTTTGTAGCTTTGACATAAATATGCCCACTAAAGAGAAGCTTTTTATTTGAGAAGCAGCTGTCTCAAATTATTTGCGTATCTGAAAAATAAAGCTGTGATTTGCAGAAGGTTTTATATGTTAAGGACTGCCAGAAATAAATGCCTCTTACAGCAGGAAATTTGGAGCAGCTGAAGGTAGTTCAAAATAACTCAGTTATCTGAAACAATTTATTTTATCTTTCCTTTCTTTTAAAGAAAGTTCAAAGGGAGATAGACACATAGTTCAGCATCTTAAAGTTTAGATTCTTTAAGAACATTTCAAATACACTCATAAGTAATATAACATTGGGACATTTACTGAAAAAAACAAAAGCTTTCTCATAAAGCAACTGCTTGGTTCACCTTCATTCACAGGATGTTTGTCCTGATGATCTGGGACAAAAAAGGAAAGCTTCTGTGCACAGTAGAAGCAATGAAGCCTTTTTAAGTTTTACATGTAAGATTCCCCTGGTAGCGGCTACAAACATAGCTTTAGGATTTGTGAACAACATCTAAATTCCCATTAGACAGTACTTCACCCTTTTCAGGAAATCCAGCAGGCTAAATGTACACTCATGCATTCTTGTCTTCCTGACTTTCAAACAGACAAGGATAATCTGAAGGTAAGCACAGACTGAACTCTCAGCTAAATATGTGTTATATATGAATTCTAGTAGTGACAATTTAGAAGTCAGTGTAAAATTATTCAGCATTTTCATTAAAAACTTTCATTTTGTATGTATATGCAGCAATGATGATCACTAGAGAAAGGACAACAGTAAAAGCTGCTTGCTATAGAAATCTACAGTGCAAAACCTGTTTCAGTCTCTCACAGTAACTCTTCCATTTAATGTCACAAAGGGGAATGCCAGGATGAAAAGTTCAGATCTACCCACAACAGGAAAGAAAACTGAACATTGTTCCCTGGAAAGGACACCAAAACATGAACAAGTCAACCAAAGCAACTACTTAATCATAGATGACAGAAGCAGCTAGTTCAATACCAATATGAGAATGTACAATAAAATACACAGTACTGTTTCCTCACTTTTACTATAAATGACATTTTCCATGAAATAGAAGAAAGGTTACTATATTGCTATGAAGTCAAATAAGAATATAACGTAGCATGAAAATTCTATCTTTTTATGTTTCTTTTGGGAAAAAAAAAAAGAGAGGTAATAAAATTACTTATATTGGAATACTTATCTGCAGAATTGTGAAATACCTTAAAAACCATCTTAATGGCCTTTGAAGCATTCTTATTTAAGGCACTGCACATTTGCTTACCCATTCAATGATGGCAGAAGTGAAAGCAATGCCAAAGCAGAAAGTTTCCTTCTTTCTGGCTGAGTGATGTTATCCATCCGATCAACCCACATTTCAATCATGTTACCAAGAATTTGGTCCAACTGCAATGGGAAACAGAACACTCCATTTATGAGTACTTTGGCATATTTAGAAAACGATTTATTTGAATTTTTCTACCAAGTGAATGCATTATTCAATCTGGGAAAGACACCATACAGTTATGTATACCTGACAGAAGTATAGAATCACAGAAGGGTTTGGGTTGGAAGGGACCTTAAAGATCACCTAGTTCCAACCCGCCTGCCATGGGCAGGGACACCTTCCACTAGACCAGGTTGCTCAAAGCCCCATCCAACCTGGCTTTGAACACTGCCAGGGAGGGGGCAACCACAGCTTCTCTGGGCAACTTGTGCCAGTGCCTCACCACCCTCACAGGAAAGAATTTCTTCCTCATATCTAATCTAAATCTACCTCCTTTCAACAGGTATTTTTAAAATTTTCTATGACAGTGCTTCCAGGCCTTGAACCACCTTCACCATTAATTGTAGCCTAGAAGTTAGAAATGCACTTAGCGGACAGAGCGCTGACCTCAGAACAGTAAATTTTCCCTGTAACAGGCCAATATACACAAAGCATGTGAACTTACTCTCTGCTTTAACTTCACTGGTGACAAAAAAAAACCCTTGCCTTTACCTGTTTGACAACCGGATCATATCCAAGAGAACAACTGAAATTTCACTTAAAGACACAGTAGAACACTTGTAGCAAAAGAACCTCAGTAACCTCACCAGTGAAAGCAGAGCACACTGAACCTGATACTCCTAGAAACTCACTGGACAATGATTAGATCATTATCCCTGGTGCAAAACTCATCAAGATGGCACAAGGAAAGAAACTCTCACCCTGCAATACCATGCAAACTAAAGGAGGTTACATGGCTTATTGTGGGATGCAGCAGTAGGCTAATTCAGACATGTCTAAAACTGTTAATGAGATGTTTTAAGGTAGTGCGGGAACATGTAAAACTTGTTACAGGATGTTCAGGGGAACGTGCCCCTTTCCAAGGTGGACTGGGGAGGAACAGGCACGGAAAATGGAGGGAAAAGTTCTTTTAGGTCAAAAGAATGCAAGACTTCCACATGCAATCCAGCTGAAATAGCAAGACAAAAATCCTTACCTCCTGACCCAATTCACTCGCCATCTGGCTCAAAAATAATGAAAAAAACCTTGCATTTTGTAGCAGAACTCTACCCATGATCCCCAGATAAGTAGACATCACCACTGGGTATCTCTGAAACAAAGAGGGCTTACTTTAATTAAGAGAAAAATACTTATAGAGCAGAAATACAGTGGAAAAACTTGTATGCACCCTTTACGTATTTTATTAAACTTGAAATTATAAATTGTCATTTGTAAGCCTCCTAGAACACAAGGCAGACAGCAATCATTACCAGAGTTTCTTGATTCTTACAACAGGAAACTATGGCAATCTCAAAGTCAGTTTCCTCCGAGCAGACAAGAAAACTTGCAAGGTGATTTAACTTTAAATTTAAAAACCTGCATCTTAAGGAATAAACAGTATATTGCACTGCTAAAAAATTACTTTCAAAGTTAATTATGGCTCAAAATTACTGTCTACAATTTTAGTAACATTAAGAAGTGCTTAGTATTTCTGAAGTTGTTGTTACTTATTTCACTGAGAGAAACTATAATACATTTGCCAATAACTAATTTGCAAGTGTCTCAAAATTAACAGGATACAGTTATAAGCTCATTAGTTTATTCTCTTTTGTTATCACTTCTAATTTTAAAAGTAGCTACAGATTTCTTTGTATTTTTAGCATTTAACAATGTAACAGTAAGTATTTTCTAACTGAAAAAATGCTAACATTTACCTGTGAACACATACTACTATCTTTTTTGAATAGGAAGCAATGAATTTATTATAGTCTTAAACCAGAAGACATTTTAATAATCCATTCTCCAGTTTTGTGTCTCCTTAAACTGAAAACTGTTCAAACAAACTGTCTTTTTTTGTGTTCTGTACAGCAAGAAAGTACATTGCAAAGTAACATTATTTGACTTAATCTTGGAAATATCTTATTTAACTCAATAATAATGGGAGCCAAATATTGGTATCTGAAAGTCTCCAACTCTGAAAAAAGCAAAGGTTTTGATCAAGAAAGTCAAAAGCATAGAGAATTCCACCCACTGATTCTGATGATTAAAATTGTTTTTTTTCCTCCAGCTAGTACTGCAAGGTTCAACACAGTTAAAAGTATACTGGATTTTACTCCTTCTTATCCAACATAGAAATTTGTTGAAGGCACAGACAGAGAAAAGGAAGAACTTAAGAAATCTAAGCAAGCAAAATCTAAAAGCTTCTTCTATCTCACACAAAGCATTCTCACATCCTTCAGCTCTTCCTATTAGATATGTCAATTAGAAAAAGAAGGTCTAGTCAATCTTCTTGTCCAGATTGTCTCTGGTGCAAGTACACTTAAAAAGAAGTAGTATAACTGTCATAGCACCTTATCAGTGCTAATAGTGAAGGAATGGCAGAATAAAATTTGTGTTATCTTATTAAAATAAACACTAGATGACAACACAAGTGATGGATATGCTGGTTTAACTCTTGTGCTACCACGTTACTTCTACAGACTTTTTAAATAGCTGTCAAAGATCTATCAGATGCTGTTACAACAAGAGAAAATGCAACATCAATATGAAAAAAATGGGCCAGATAACATAAGCTACTTTCCTGTCCAAAATGAAAAGTAAAGAGTAGTTAAGGAGTAACTCTTACCTCCCCATCTATAATCCCCCTGAATATTGATGGCAGAAGGGGTTGAAACATCTGAGGACCCAAAACAGGGTTTACTTTTAAGACATTTTCCACAACCTTAAGAACAAAAGCAAATTAGACAACTAGTAAAGTACATTTAAAAATCTTAACTGAAGCTTTAAAACTACGTAAACTGGTTTATATATAAAGTCCTGATATGATGTTTACCAATAAATACCAGCAAACCCCAGGACTGCTGAAAGTATATTCTAGTGAAGTACTCTGCAAACCTGATCTGCATAATGTACCTGACGAAAAACTAACATGCCAAATGAAACCCACCTAGCCAAGCACCATCTCATCAGCCTCCTCCTGGCCCTGGAAAAGCTGATGAAGTGGGTTGGAAGGAAGGACCTTGATAAGGCTCCAGGAAAGCACCTTGATGAGGTGGGTTTGCAGGGAGGAGTACCAGCAGTTTAAGCCTTATTTCTATATCTATGTCCTGTTGCTTTTCTGAAGAACCATTGATCACAACGTACCACCTCTTTGCAGGTGATCAAGTAACCAAAAGTGCTCTCAGATGTGCGACTGTCAGTACCCTGATCTAGTTCCCAGTTTTTACATTCTTTACCCTTCGCTTCTCAGCTCATTTTTCCCCCATGAGCTGTTGCCTGAAGTAATTTTTTTCCTGTGTTCTTCAGGCTTTCTTTTGCCCAGCTGTTTGGTCTCTCTCCTTGTACTAAGGTGGAAGGGAAGAGGCTGCGAGAATAACGGGCTGATACCTGTTCACTCCTATGGGTAAGTAACATCTATACACTGACGTGTATAAAGTATATAAGGGCACCATAAAGGTACCTCCCTTAAACACTCTTCTCAGTGCCCACCTACTTTCACCTCAGAGGGAGTTCCACAAGGAGACACTCTTCTGTGCTCCTGTCCAGTCTCCCCTAAATCTTTTTTCTTTTTGAAACTTGTTCCTACAAGCTTCATTTAATGCCATCTATTTCTTGCCTTGAGAGAGATGGTAAGCAGTTGATCCCTTTCAACACCCCTCAATTTTGTAGACCTTTAATATAATATTATATGGAGATGAACATAAGTTTTCCCCCTACTCATCTTTTCCTGGTACTGGAAGTTTGGCTAACTCATTTGCTGCTTGTACAGAGTCTTTTCAAACCTTTTATTCTCTGTCTCAGGTAATTAAAAAAAAAAAATAAAAAATCAAGTCACTCACCCCTTAGCAATCTTGTGATATATCGTCTTATCAGTCCAAATTATCATTTTTCAACCTTATCCATTTACTGACTATTCTAATATCTACTTTCAATCCAGCCAAAGCTGTTTGTAGGAAAACATTTCAGAGAACACTTCTGGGTGTTTCTGTTCCAAATACTTATCTTACGGGTTTTTTGTTTAACAAATCAGCATAGTGATGCCTGACAAAACATTTTCCTTTTGGCAAAAGTAGTTACACAGATCACAGCTCAGTCATCCCTCTAGAAGCAAGCGGGCACACTAAGAAGGTGTTCGAAGTATACTGGACAAACCTTGTGGGTAATGCAAGGCCACACAGGGACCAAGCGGATAAATGATACCATAAGAGCAGCATCATTCCATTTTAGAGATCTGATTAACATTTGCCCAACTATACATTTGCCCAACTATAGACTGTAAATAATAGTATTGGTAGAGAGGAATCGATAAATTTTAAATTCCAGAACTAGAGTCCTTACAATCCTCACAGCAGACACTACAAATGGGGAGGACTATCAACTTCAGTTGTTTTCTCTCTTGGGATTCTGCAAGCAGTTATGCAACCTACCAAAGAGGTAGACGGGATCTAATTTTTTTTCCTCCATTGTATTTATAAATGAACTGAATGTGAGTCCAAGTTTTTACAAGCAACACAGAGTTCCCAGTTAGGGCAGCCACTGGAAACGTTAAGTACTAATACACTACAGTTTCTACTCAACTATCTTTCAATACATAGTCCAGCTTTGTTTCCTGAAATTCTTCAAGAGGCACATTTAAAGTATCATGCTTAGTATTTCAGAAGCTTATGAATCTCATAACATCTCTTTCATAATACCATCTGAAGTTTGTATGAAAATATAGGGGGTTTTAATACTTTGGAAAACCTCTAGCAACTCTGTTTAAGCAGTCATTGCCATTACAATAGCAACTTACGCCAAAAGCAAAGACTGTTTGAACACTACGTCACGTTATAAACACAAGTATGCCACACAAAGTAATGTGATAGCACATACATCCAACATTCAATAAAGATTGGAAAAGCTTGGCTCTAGACCTATTAGGTTCTAGCAGCCATATAGAAAAAAAAGTGACTCTTGATCATTTGGTGCTTATTTAATCATAAAATCACCTAAACCATTTTTATAATAAAAATATATGTATGCAGACTTATTACTTTACCCTTATCCTGCCAGTTTTTCAAATGTACAGTTACAAAATTGAACTGTAGGATTATTTTTTCTTATGGGTATGGAATACTGAAAAGGAGTAATGCAGTGACTGTTCAAGTGTGCTGTTGACAGGCTGTACAATAAACTATTTTCATGAAGATCCAAGCCCTCACTGACCACCTTTCTCTAGTAACCTAGAAAATAATCAAATAGGAAAGATATAAGAGAGTCTTAATTTAAATCAATCTATACATAGAGGACTCAAACTAGCTTAGAACTCCTTTACCTAAGGACAATACTTCGGAATCACATGAAACAACGAAAGCATTGCAGAGAGAGTATAGGAACAGTGTGTTAGGTGGTTATCTTTTAGGGTGCTCTATTTAAGGCTATACTAACCTTCTCTTGGTAAAAGTAGTATTTTTAGAATTTTTCAAAAATACATGTGTGTACACGTGCACTCTCCATCCACACACACAACTTTAAATATGTAGGTTAAAACACCGCTGACTCCAATGCCAGTGCATGCCAAATGACCTGTTTTCTTCTACATGTTCTACCTTAATCATACTTGAAAATATTATTCTTACCTGACAAAACATTATCAAAAATAACAGATGTACAGAGCTGAATAATTGGGTATTATTTTTATTACACTCTACCTTTAAAACTTGAACTTGACCTTCAGTAGTTATGTCCTTCAAAAGTTCACAAAATGACCGGCATAAGTCAGCAGCATACATCTGAAATTAAATAAAAAAAGAAGGTATTATGCAAACACTTTTTATATCTATGTATATATTCCAAAATGCAACACATTAGGGATTACATATGTCCAAAGACTCAGCTTCTCTTCAAAGATCATACTTCCTAAAGTGCTCGTCTTTCCTGAACTAATTAAAACCTAACCTAAGCACTTTTGTCATTTTTTTAACATTGCACGTTTAAGCAATCAATCTCAACAAACTTTCTAATGAAGAAGGTGTGAGAGCAAGGCGTAACACCTCTAGTTTAATTCTTGCTAGAACTGATGATGATAGTTTCAATCTGGTAGGACTACCCTGCATAGGACCTTTTAGGTACCAAAGCACTAAATCAACCTACACAACATTAGTTCTAAATAATAGCCTCTCTCAAATCTCATTTGATTGAGTGTCCACCATGTGCCATAAAAAGCTAACATTAGAACAATATGCTTGTATATACATAAATGAATAAGAGTATAAATGTTTGTGTGTATAAATGTTCTGTCATGTGTTTCCAACATGACAGAAAAACCAGTTTGTCAGTAGGGAACTAAGGTGATAATATGAATCTTTATATAATGGTAACATACCTGTAAAAATTCAGATGACGATAAGAAAATATAAGCATTGATGATCTTAAAGCAATTTTTGAGGTTTTCTGAACTCAGCTCTGGAAAAAAAGAAATCATAATTCAGAACCCCCCATCACCAATTCACTTCTAAAAGGGTTTTTCTTCCCACAGCTTTTAAGTGCCAAATGCCTACACACAGGAAAAAAATAATTTCTCTGATCCCCAACAAAACCCAGATGAGAGCATTTATTAATTCAGAAAAAGATATGTTTGATTCAGGAAAACCTGGCAAGAGAATTGATGCATAATTGTTTTTTAAATGTAATCAGTTGAAGGCAATAGCATTCTAGAAAAATGCTTTTATTGAACATTGAAATTTAGGCACAGATGAGTGACTGAAATTCTGTCATTTCCAAGACATCTATCTTACCTGGCCTGAATTAACTTCCTTCTTGCAATTTTGCTACTCATATTTCATTACCTTTGTATCAGTTACCACTAGTTTATAGACACTGGAATCTTTTGAGGAGGATATTGGATGGATAAGCGAAAAAATCATCTCTTTTCAAAACAAGATATGTAAATACTCACATATGCCACAAGCTTGTGACACGGCCATGACACAGGCATGTTCAAATAATGAAAGACTAGTATGAATGAATGAATCACTAAAAAAAATTAACTAAATCTCAAACTAATTTTTTTATGCATCACACATTGGAATTGCTTGCCGAGAGATAAGCATGTTTTAAAAAAATCTCCTAAAAATCAATGGCAAGTAATTACTTCTCTAGGTTATAAATTTGAGTTAAGAACGAAAAAAAAAAAAAAAATAAAGTCAAAGAATGCTGAAGGCATATTCTTGACAATAAAACAATCGGCTCTGCCAGAGAAAGCATGAGAGGAGGCAGCATAGAGCCCTTCAAAATTCACGTTTCTAAGGTAGTACTGGTGGGCCAGGAAGCAATAAGACAAGCAAGTGCTTGTGCAATACATAATCTTGGCAAGTATCCTAAGAGCACTTAAAAAAATTTGTGCAACAGATGATACATTCACCTGCAGTCATCTAAACATGCATTGACCAACAGGAAAAAAGCCACAGCAAAACCTTTCCACTAAGTGATATCCATAGCACACTTCAAAAACAACACACATAATTTGCACGTAGTATATCTCATTCAGTTTTATATCAGTTTTGTGTTCACTGAAGAAAGCATACTGTTTTAACACAGAAATCATGAACCAAGTTTTGTACTTTGATGGTTAAGCTAAACTCCCAGATCCAACAGGAAACACTAGCTGCTCAAAGAGCTCTTAAGGGTCCTGAATCAGAACCAGCAATCTATCACTGAACGCCTCCTGAATTTTCTGAAAAAATATTGCCTATGGTCATAATCAAGGCCCACAGGACCCTGCTCACAAAGGCAATTAATGCAAAGCAAAAGCTACAACACAATGAATAACGAACAACCTGAATAATACATAATCCAGACTATTGTCTGTACCTCCTTAAACATAACCAAACCATCTACTTTTATGGTTATCCATATTATTTTCCACAGTCCCTTTGGGTCTGAGTTATCAAAACTGCACCATTTCTATTTATGTGCACTGTTCAATCCCCACAAAAGTTCGTTCCCTATTGTACAGGAATATCTAAGAAGTAGCATTTATGCAAGACTCAAAAATGCTATAATCTGGCCGTGAAAAACATATAACAACATCTTCTCTCCCTGTCTAGTTCAATGACTTCTTGCCATATCTGTTTCCTCATCTTGAGCAGGACACAGTCTGCTATATACCTCTAATGTTCAAAAAAACCCTCATGTATCAACTTCTTCTCTCCCTCCCTTCCAGCCCTTCTAGTTCAACCATGTTGACCTCTAATAGGATACTTTTTCTGAAGGACTTAAATGATGATGGAACAGTTAAACACAACAGAAAAATACTTATATTACTTGTATATTAAAGTAACTCCATTCTGTAAGACTAAATTCAGAAACTAAAGATCAGAAGGTTCATATTCCTTACACTGCATTTTCAACAAAACCATTTTCTGGAGCACTTTCTCCACCACTTGGTTGTCCTCTTTTAGTTTAAAACCACTATCCCTTGTCCTATCACAACAGGCCTTACTAAAAAGTCTGGCCCCATCTTTCTTATAGTCACCCTTTAAGTATTGGGGCAATAAGGTCTCCCTGGAACCTTCTCTTCTCCAGCCTAAACAACCCCAAGTCTCTCAGTCTGTCCTTACAGGGGAGGTGCTCCAGCCCCCTCATCATTCTTTGGCCCTTCTCTGGACCTGCTCCAACAGGTCCATGTCTTTCTTGTGCTGGGGGCTCCAGAGCTGGACGCAGCACTGCAGGTGGGGTCTCACCAGAGCAGAGTAGAAGGGGAGAATCACCTCCCTCGACCTGCTGGCCACACTGCTTTTGATGCAAGGTTGGCCTTCTTGGCAGGGCTGCTCTCAATCCCTTCATCCCCCAGCCTATGTTGATACTGCCTCGACTCAGGTGCAGGACCTTGCACGTGGCCTTGTTGAACCTCCTGAGGTTCACATGGGCCCACTTCTCGATCTTGTCCAGGTCCCTCTGGATGGCACCCCTTCCCTCAGAAGTGTCACTGCACCACTCAGCTTGGTTACATCTGCAAACTTGCTAAGCATGCACTCATCCCACTATGTAACTGATGAAGATATTCAACAGTACTGGTCCCAATATGGAGCCCTGAGGGACACACTCATCACTGAACTCCATACGGACATCGAGCTGTTGACCACTACCATCTGGATGGGACCATCCAACCAGTTCCTCATGCACCACAAATCCATATCTCTCCAATTTAGAGAGAAGGATGTTGTGTGGGGACTGTGTCAAAGGCCTTACAAAAGTCCAGAGACACAACATCCGTAGCTCTTCCCCTGTCCACCAATGTTATCACTTCAAAGAAGGTCATTGCTGTGAATGCTGGCTGTTGCAAATCACTTCCCTGTCTTCCATGAGCCTTTGCACAGCTTCTAGGAGGATCTGCTCCATGAGCTTCCCAGGCACAGAGGTGAGGTTGACAGGTTGGTAGTTCCCAGGTTCCTCCTTTCTGCTCTTTCTAAAACTGGGTGTGATGTTTCCCTTTTTCCAGTCACCAGGGACTACACCTGACCGCCATGACTTTTCAGATATCACGGAGGGTGGCTTGGCAACTACATCAGCCAGTTCCCTCGGGACTCTGGGATGCATCTCGTCAAGTCCCATAGACTTATGCAAGTTCAGGTTCCCCAGGTGGTCACAAACCTGATCTTCTCTTACAGTAGGAGGGACTTTGCTCCCTCCGTCCCCATCTTTTGAGCCATCCACTCAAGAGGTGTGGGAAGAGAGGTTGCCAGTGAAGACTGAGGCAAAAATGCTGCTGAGTACCTCAACCTTCTCCTTGTCCATTGTTACCAGCTTGCCAGTCTTGGTCATCTTGGGGGGCTATGCTTTCTTTCACCTTCCTTTTCTGGCTGACATACCTGTAGAAGTCCTGCTTACTATTCTTTGCATCCCTTGACAAGTTCAGCTCCAGCAACACCTTGGCCTTCCTGACCCCATCCCTACAAAACTGGGCAGTGTCCCTGTCTATACTCTTCCCAGGATACCTGTCCCTGCTTCCACTGCCTGTGCATTTCCTTCTTGCCCTTTAGTTTGACCAGAAGATCTCAACTCAGCCATGCCAGTTTCTTGCCTTCCTTTCCTGGTTTCTTACACCTGGGGATCGAGAGCTCTTGCGCTCTATGGAAAGCGTCCTTAAAGATCTGCCAGCTCTGTTCTGCTCCGTTGTCCCTGAGGCAGTTTCCCAGGGGCTCCTACTGACTAACCCCTTGAAGAACTGGAAGCTTGCTTTCCTAAAATTCAGGGTCCGGACTTCACCCTTTGCCTGACCCATATCCCTCTGGACTGTGAACTCCACCTCTGTGTCATGACTGCAAGCCCAGGCTGCCTCCAATCTTGACATCACCGATTAGCTCACTTGCATTAGCGACCATCAGGTCCAGCATTGCACCCTCTCTGGTAGGCCTGGCTTAAGAAGTTATTCTCTATGCACTCCAGGAGCCTCCTGGACTGCCTACAGCTCACCACGCTGGTTTTCCAGCAGATGTCGGGGTGGCTGATGTCCCCCAGAAGGACAAGAGCCTGCAAGCGTAAAGCCTCCTGTAGCTGAAGGAAGAAGACTTCATCAGTAGGCTCCTCTTGATCAGGTGGCCTCTAATAAACAGCAACCTCAAGGTTCCCTTTGTGGCCTCAGTCTCTAATTCTTACCTACCCATAGCTATTCTTCAGAGACAGCTCTTCACACTGTACCCATTTCTTGATGTAGACAGCAATGCCTCCACCCCTCCTTCCTCACCTGTCCCTTCTGAACAGCCTGTAGCCATCGACAGCTGCACTCCAGTCACGGGATTTGTCGCACCTAGTTTCAGTAATGGCAACCAGGTCATCGCTTTCTAGCAGCACGGTGGCTTTTAACTCCTCATGTTTGTTGCCCGTGCTGCATGCACTGGTGTAGAGGCACTCCAGTTGGGATGTCGGCCATGTCAGCTTCTTAGACGAACACCCCTTAATTCCTCTGAGCTATTCCACTGGTGTTTCCCTGTTGGCTCCTATTACCTCAGGAGCCCCTGGCTTATCTCTGTAAGATTTCAAGCATGCAGCAGTGAACCCAGCACACCTCGGAGCAACAGGCTGAGGGCCCTCACTAGCACCCCATCTGTCTAACCATTTGTGTCATCCCAGTTTGTCACACGCAAGCCTGATATTATTCCCCTCCTGCTTCGAGTCTAGTTTAAAGCTCTGTCAATGAGCCCTGAAAGATCCTGAGCAAAGATCCTCTTTCCACTTTGAGAAAGGTGATTCCCATCCGACTCCATCAAGCCTGGTACCGTGTAGACCATCCCATTACTGAAAAACCCAAAACTGTGGTGGTCACACAGCCATGTATTAACAGGCTGTATCTGTCTGTTTCTTCGAATGTCTCTGCTCGCGACTGGAATAAGAGAGGAAAATATAGCCTGCGCCCCAGATTCCCTCACCCCCTGTCCCAAAGCTCTGAAGTCTTTTTTGATCGCTCTTGGACCATGTGTTGTGGCTTCATCGCCACCCACATGAAACAGCAGTAGCAGGCAATAGTCTGAGGGCCATATCAAGCTAGGGAGTTTCCTAGTGATGTCCTTGACCCGGGCCCCAGGGAGGCAGCAGACTTCCCTAAGAGAAGGGTCTGCCCGGCATATTGGACCCTCTGTTCCCCTCAGAAGGGAGTCCCCCTACAACTATAACCCATCTTTTCTCCCCCTTGAAGGTGGTTGTGATACAGGGGGTAGGCCTTTCTGACCTTGGCGATAAAGCTGGTGTAGATGGATCGTCATCCACATCATCCCTTGACTGGCCCTCCACATCCAGAGCCTAGCCCCTGTTGTACAGAGGCACCTAGGGTGGAGAGGTGAGCAAGGAGGGGGGTTTGCCTGGCACTCCAAGGATCAACTTGCCTCCATTCACTTCTTTTCTCTAAGGTTCTGCCTTCAGCCTGGCAGGGGGAGGATACAGAGTCCCCTTGATCTTGTGTCTTCTCTGATGGGTGTTCCTGTTTCCATCCAGGGAGGGCAGAGCACGGCTCCACCAGTCCATCTCTTCCTTGGCCTCCCTGATGCTCCTCAACCTTTCTACTTCCTCTCGTAGCTCTGTCACAAGGCAGAGCTGACTGTCCACCTGGTCACACCCCACACTGCTGTTCTCACTACTGGCAGCCTTTACCAGTGAAAGGCTTTGGCACTCCCCACAGCCTGAGGTCTGGACAGCTGCATGTTTTTGTGGGAGCTCCGTCTGGGTTGTCACTTCTGTTCCAGCAACTGCAGAGGACAGAGCCTTCTGCTGGGTGGATACCATAGCTAGGCTCCTTTTGAGAGGGAGATGACCAGCAATGGAACTAACCTCTTGAGCTCATGGGGCTTCGGCGTCCTGCGCCACGCCACGCCATACTCTGGTTGCCCTGTTTGTTGCTAGTGGTCCCCAGGCCATTTCTGATGGTGGGCCTAAGGGGGGCGCCACGGACCTTGAAACACCCAGGTTTTGTCAGCATCTCCTGTGAAAGCTGCTGGCTCCCAGCAGGCGTCTCTGCTGCCCTGGCTGGCATCTCTTTTGGCCTACAGCAATCAAACTTTTTGACTGACATGACACTCAGAAAACAAGTTTATCAGAAAAATACTCAGGATGTAAAGTAGTACCAGAAGTCTACATAAGGAAATCGGTCGATGATTACACGTAAGTTGCTGTGTTTTTGCCACCCACCCCCATCCTTGATTAAAAAACACCTCAGTTTGACATAAGTGTGTTTGAAGCCTCACCTCAAGGAAAACCTACCTAGGTTAACTGTACTACTTGCTCTACCAGCATCACACAACAGCTTTCACTTTTCATAACAAGGAACAGTCTCTTGAACATATATTATATCCAAAGGAGAGCATCACTACTCTCCAGAATTCATACATAAAATAAGGAAATTGTTACAAGTGTAGAATATTCCTGAATACCTCCACCTTTTGTTAGAAAAGTACGTCAAGGTTTCCATTCATACTCATCTCTACCCTGGGAAGAATCGCATGAGGAACTAGGGAGGACAGTGTGGTGAGCAAACAAGCCACAAATACAGAGTATTTCTGAACTGACCTCAAACAGACCAGCAGTGTGACACAGCTATGAAAATCACAACCATTTGTATGGTGTAAGCTTCCTGTAGCAGATACTATCTACTACTAACAAAGAAGAAGGAGGATGGTAGGTGTGTAGATATGAATGAAGACAAAGAGTTAAGTATTTGGCCTAAGAACCTAAGAGGTAGCTCTGGACTTAAATACTAAAAACACTACAAAACACTACTTTCCTGAGCAGTTCTGTCACTAGAGATCTAGCATGCACAGAGAAATAATAGAAAGTGCCATCTTGCACCTACCCACCATGGCATAACTTTCTATTGACCTTTAGTCAGAATAAAATATTAAATGCTGAAAACAACAATTAAAAAGCTAACTTCTGTAATTTTATAAACACATTCCTCAAAAAAAGAATCCATTTGCTACTAGCTCCACAACCTAGAAAAAGCACAGCTAAAGATTTCATTAAATAAAAATGTATTTATGTAATAAAATTAAACCACAAAATTTGTATATTCCCTTTAACTACAAAGCAAAACCACCACATATATCAGTATTTTCTAGGCACTAAATCTTAATCCTCATTAATAAGTCTGTATGTTCCCAATAACTCAGGCAAAACTACTCCTTTAAATTCATTGCTACTTGACTGATATGCTTGCAAACATCTTTAGGTAGTTTGAAAACATCCTACATAGTTACTAACTGAAAACAGAAAATCTAACAGTGGAAATTCCAATTCTTCAGACTAGAAGTCATCATTCTGGTTGTACACGGAACAGGCAAGTATTTGTAGACATGGGTTAGTGGGCATGGTGGTATTAGGCCAACAGTTGGACTTGATGATCTTAGAAGTCTATGTCAACCTAATGATTCTAGGATTCTGTGATTCTATATAATCAATATAATGAAAACCAAGCACATTTGGTGTCACACTTCAGGAACTTCTTAAAAAGACCTCTGAAATGACAAACTGAAATTTGTCTTATCTTTTGGGTACAAAGCAGCTTCAATTTATTAAAAAAAAAGAGAACTAGGGTAAGTAGTTAGTAAGTATTAAAGAAGATATGAAAAAAATCAAACAATAAAAACCTGTTAACTTTTTAATAGTTACAATTTTGCAAGCCCTGTTAGTTTTTGTAGCCACAGGAGCATCACTTAATGCATGAACAACACAAGAAGTAGAGAAAAAAAACAAACCAGAAATTGTACTAGTAAAAGACCTACCAAGAAGGGCAGACATGTTCTGAAAAATTCTCAGGAGCTCAGGTGTAAGACATGGACTGTTCTCCAATGTCACTAACCTAAGAACAGATCAAGCAAAATATTTCAGATGATCTATGAATAACATTGAGCAATTATTTTGACAGATATAAAACACTGTAACTTCTAATAATAATTTATATGTTCCTTAAATAATGTGTAACAATTACTTAAAGCATATTTCGAGTGCAGCCGTAGCCCTTACAACACACCCATCAGTATCAGCATGGGTCTTGCTAAGGTAGGAAAAGGAAAGAAAACATGTTACTGTTTTTTATAAAAGACAACATAACCTCCAAAATGCAGCAGTGAGAATGTTTAAGTGCCCAACTTGGGAACTCAGAGAAGATGGGTAGAGAAGAATATTCATGATGAAACAACAACACGTGTAATGCTCTACACCTCAAAGCAGCAGCTGTGGGAGCAACCATCTCAAATATTTAATCTATTTTATTAATTTTTTTAGGTCTGAAATGATGCATGGATTACCATACGCAAAAAGCATAACTACAAGCTTGGCATTGTTTGTAACAATTTGAAATTCCTAAGGTTTGAAAACAGTAGCTATAAATTAAATTCATACTTAAAGCCACAGCAACACATTTCAGCTTGTTCCTAGATCTTAGGTGTGGGATTAATGTATTTAAAAAACATTTTTGATTACGTAAAGTATCTTAACTGTTCTCTTCCTCTTGGTTCAAAATGCCATTAGAATTTGAACTGTCTCTGCCAGCTCCATCCAGATTCCTTCGATGCTCTACGGCATCTTAAAAATATTCTTCTGCATAGGCATCAGAAGAACAACCTCAAGATCAGTATTATGAAGAAGAGATAAAGTTCTGAACTGATACATTGAAAAGGCCCCTGTCTTAAATTTTGTGAAGCACTTCGACTTGCTGCCCGATCACCAACAGCACTATAAATGTTAGTTTTGCTGCACATGGAAGAAATAATTTGTAGGTTAAGTATTTGTAATTCAAATGCCCATCTACAATTTAGATAAAAGAATCCCTCATTATTTCAAGACAAACTCAATATACTCCTATTCTCCAGGAAAGCGATGTGCTGAACCTGGTCCAGGTAACAGTTTCCTCACCCTAGAGTGTCAGCTGCACCACAAACAAACAAATTAGGCTCAAGGCAAACTGACCACAGTGCCACTTCTTGTTTTATGATCAGTCACCAAATAGCTTGAGATCTGGAAGATAACTTCTACATTTTATCATTGCAAACTCACCATCTCTTCCACTAACCAGCTCTGAGAACTATTGGGTCATTGCACTCCCAAAGTCAAGTACATCAAATTGTTCGTTTAGCATGCACGTTATAGCAAGTCTAGACTTTTTGTCTTTCTGTTTCAGGCAGTGAGAACTGCCTGAAAATGGATTACCTACTGAGGTATTTTTAATTGTGTTTCCTTTATTAACTTCTTGACCTTGTCTCTTCTGAGAAAAGCTATGATAGAGATAATGTCAAGGTAAGATAACAAGAACATATAAACTCTTAATACAGTCAAAGCTTTTTTTATTTTTTTTTTTCTTTCTTCTGGGGATACAAATGTAACACTTAAAAAATTAGAAGCTAATAAAGAACTTTCTTACCATAACTCTAAACCATCTTCCAGAAGATAGACATGTGGAGGCTGAGAAACATCTGTACTTAGCTGAATAACTGGAAGTAGAAATGGATAGAGATTTTTGCTGTCTGCTCCCAGCCCCTATAAAAGTAAATACAAAATGTAAAACACTTCAAAAACCTCAAGTCAAGCATTTCAGGAACAGCATTAAAAAAAAAAATCTGTGATGCTGTTCTACTCACATACTGAAAACATGTATCAAAGGTTGAACTTGCATCCCTTTCATACAACCACAAAATAGTCTGAAACTCCCGAGCTTTGTCTCAACATGTCTTGAGAAAATTATGTAAGTTTTTGAAAACTTATCAATGGTCTGCAAGAAAAAATGATTAACAATACGTATTCCTAAAAGCATTCACTGTCTAATCTCTTTGTGTCCACCTATTCTTTCGGCCTCCATAGGGGCCAGTAACAACAAGTTCCATAATTTGTATATCATGAAAATTTATTTTCTCTGTTTGAACTAACTCCACTTTTAAAAGAATCCTCATTTTTCCTTTAGTTGTAATGTCTAGTCATTCCCCTTCCACTTTCTCTCCACTGTTAACCTCTACAGTACTATCCTCTTAGTTATGCATTTCTGCAAGTTCAAGACTGCCTGAATATTCAGTCTGTTCCTGTATAGACACTGCCCTACACCCTAGGAGCACGTCTCTTGACCTTTGCTAGTCCTATTAAAACTTTTTGAGATGTAGTAGAGGTTGGAGAAGGTGAGATGCCATATAGCCTATATTAAAAGTAGTGCTTAACAGCACAGACTTTGCAGGCAATATAAGCATGTGTGGTTTATTCATCAACCTTTTCTCAGGAACATACCACATTTTATTTGCATTTCTACTGCCAACAACACAGATATTTCAAGTTCAAGGATTACTTAATTACACCAAGAATTTTCCTTCAGTGATAAGAAATCCAGTTAATTTTAACTACTATCTCTTCATAAAGCAAACAGCTAATAATTTCTATAGGCTTTCAAAATTCTCTGCCAAGGTATTAGCATAAGCCTCTAGAGGGATTAGGAAATTTATTGTACATGTATACAAAAAGAGGGAAGAGATGCAAGGTACCATCAAGAATCAAAATCACCCAAGCAGATCATCACACGGCATGTAATGGACAACCAAGTGATCAGGCCCAGTCAGCATGGGCTTATGAACGGCAGGTCCTGCTTGACTAACCTGAACTCCTTCTACGACAAGGTGACCAGCTTAGTAGATGAGGGAAAGGCTGTGGCTGTTGTCTACCTGGACTTTAGTAAAGCCTTTGACACCATTTCCCACAGCATTCTCCTGGAGAATCTGGCTGCTCCTGGCTTTGACAGGCATACTCTTCATTGAGTAAAAGAGTGGCTGGTTGGTTGTGCCCAAAGAGACATGGTGAATGGACTTAAATCCAGTTGGTGGCTGGTCATAGGTGGTGTGCCCCAGGGCTCAGTACTGGGGAGAGTTCTGTTCAGTATCTTCTTTATCAATGGTCTGGATGAGGGTATCTAGTGCTCCCTCAGTAAACACCAAGTTGGGTGGGAGTGTTGATCTGCTTGAGGGTAGGAAGGCTCTGGCAGAGGGATCTGGATGGGCTGAATCAATGGGCTGAGGCCAACTGTATGAGCTTCAACAAGGTCAAGTGCCGGGTCCTGCACTTGGGTCAGCCTGCTTAATTAACATGGCTTAAGTCAGACCAGCATTCAAATCAAGTAGTTTATTGACTTATTAACTCCATGTAATTAACCAAGAAGGCCAACAGCATCCTGGCCTGTATCAGAAAGAGCGTGGCCAGCAGGAGTACGGAGGTGATTGTCCTCCTGTACTCGGCACTGGTGAGGCCGCACCTTGAATACTGTGTGCAGTTTTGGGCCCCTCATTGCAAGAAGGACATTGAGGTGCTGGAGCGTGTCCAGAGAAGGGCAATGAAGCTGGTGAGGGGTCTGGAGAACAGGTCTTGTGAGGAGCGGCTGAGGGAACTGGGGCTGTTTAGCCTGGAGAAGAGGAGGCTGGGGCGAGACCTTATCACTCTCTACAACTACCTGAAAAGAGGTTGTAGTGAGGTAGGGTCGGTCTCTTCTCCTAAGTAGCAAGTGATAGGACAAGAGGAAATGTCCTCACATTGTGGCAGGGGAGGTTTAGATGGGACATTAGGAAAAATTCGTTCACCAAAAGTTTTATCAAGCCACTGGAACAGCCTGTCCAGGGAAGTGGTTGAGTCACCACCCCTGGAGGTATTTAAAAGCCGTGTAGATGTGGCGCTTACAGCCACGATTTAGTGGTGGCCTTGGCAGCGTTAGGTCAACGGCTGGACTTGATCTTAAGGGTCTTTTCCAACCTAAATGATTCTATGACTCTAAAAGGTCTAAACTCATTTAGATGACTACAGATTACCAGAGACTTCCATTTAGGTACAGTGTTGGTCAACATTGCTATTAGTGTTATATGGCAAAATCTAGGACCAAAAGTTATCTAGATTTCTTTCGTTTTGAGAACTGTAAGACACTAACTGAGCTACACAAATTTAGCTCAATAATCAACTACAGGCAAATGAAACCTAATGTTGATAAATCCCAGGAATATATTCTGGAAAGGAAAAGTTCCCTACAACATACAGATGTAAAAAAAAATCTACAAAAATCTACAGGAAAACAATGGTCTAAGAATCATTATGTTCACCTCTGGTCCCAGTATTACTAGCACTTATTGCACTTAGAAGCCACAGTGATGAACACAGGTGAGGTGATAGTAGTTCCTGGCCCACAGACTTTTTATAGTTCTGACCATTCCATTTTAAAATGGACAACAAAAAGCGCAGATATTCAAGTATAGCTAAAAAGAAAGTTATGAGCACAGATAAATTCTCAAAAGAAGAAAAAAATCAAGGAGATTGAGATACAAATAATGGGATATGATAAAAATCAGTTACATAACAAAGCAGGCAGGTCAGAGCTGTGATTACCTGTTCCATGTACCATACGAACAAAGCAGAAGAGAACATCAGAAAAGCTAGGAAATTTAAGAAGGGATGAAACAAAGTATTTTTTCCCCATATGCTATATAAAAATGTTGCAGAAATCATTGCAAAAGGACGTAATAGGTATCAGAGGTTACGCAGTAGAAAGGTAATGGTAAAAAAGGTAACAATAAAAGGGTTGGAATTCTAAATAAACAAGATGCCCCAAAATTAGTCAATGCCAACACCACCCTTGAGAGACATTAAACCTAACAGTTATGATTTAAACATTTGATGTTCATCTGAATTAAAATGCAAATTTAAAGAACAGGCAAAATGAAACTTGTTATGGTGACCTATATCTTGGCCTAGGATTTAAAAATGGCTCATCTTCACAGAAAGTTTGCAACCAAACTAGAAGTTCCACATCCCTGGCAGCTGAATGGAAAGCAACAGGGAAACAGATGTGCCTACACTGCAGAATCAAGCCTGAACCATACACAACGATTGCAAAGAGGGGACTGATGCTCCTAACACTGTCTGGGAACAACAGGAAGCCAGAACAACCTCTTTCATATAGACCATAAAGTCACGAAAAGCAGGTTCAATTCCAAGATTACAAAACCAAAACCCTCCGGAACACAAGCTAATCTTCCTAAATAACTGCTTTAACTGAATAAGCCACTGGAAACAAAATAGTTAAGTGCTTAATATTAGCCATGTTCACCTTCACTATCAAGAGAACCATGTCTTTATTGTAAGACTCAAAAGCATTTAGAAATAGCCTATAGAACCAAAATATTCCTTAATTTTACTTATGTACAGATATACATACACACACACACAGAACATATGGGCATGTCTGAGAAAAAAATGAAGGTGATACTGACAACATTTATGTGATTCTAACCCTTACCTGGACAAGGTGGATTAGGGTGGTTAGAATGGCACATCGTAGCATATTGTGCTCCTCACTCTGTTTCCAAAGGAGTGGTAAATACTGAACCAAGCATCCTACGTATGGTCGTATCTGAAGTTCAGAACACAAATTTGTTTCTTAATGTGTGAAATAAGGCCACTAACTTAGCCCAAGTATAATTTCTGAAATATTTAAGAGCTGCTTTAGTCACAGTAAAAATACAGAGTTTGCTTTAATTTCCTCCTCTTTCCTCTTCCTAAAACACTGTATTCCACACAGAAGTGACTGAAGTAACTTCTGACTGCATAGTGGTTTGAAAATAACATAGTACTTATGGTAACATTTGTGCGTGGCAACCAGGATTAAGTGGTAAAGAGAAAACAAAAAATATTTAATTTGATGACCAGACATATTTTCATATTTATATACTCTTCACTTAGACAGGATGCCTAAATAATGGCATCCTTTAAGAAGACTAGAAACACTCACAGTAAAAAAAAAAAAAAAAAAAAGATAAATAATGCTGAAGTTACCTATCCTTTGATACCAGGGCTTGGGACCACACAACCTCCAGAGGTTTGTCTCAAGCTAAATTTTTTACATGATGCTCTACAATATTAAAAGGTTAATCTACTTGTCTTCTAAAGTATTTAATTAGGAATTAACCTGAACAGACTCAAAGGTTCTTTCTCAAGTGTTTTTCTGCTGCTTCTCTAGCTGATCTAAAAGCAGGGAAACCTGTTGTCATGCTGGCTTTTCCTACAAGTGACAATTAGGAAAGCTTCATTGGGTGCTCAGACAGGATTACTTGTAGAACAAAGAGATAAACTCAAAAACCATGCATTATCTCTATCCTTAGTACAGTAATACTGCCAAAAAAAACGAGACAAAAGCAGTCGACAATTCATTTTCTAATTCTGCAAAAACATCTTCAATTTTTTTTTATGTACAAGCTGAAGAATATACTTTAACACTAAGAAGGAAGCACTGAAACTTCGCAATGTGAACTTGAAACTGTTCATGCAGTTAACGAGAGTGGTCTATAGGCAGTCGAGATCCATCAGTGCCAATGAGATTACAAATTTAAGTCCACAGTTCACAGCAGTGTGAAGCATTTCGTTCTCCAAAATGTCTCTTTCACTATGTAAGATTTGATAAAATTCTAGTTCAGCAATTAGACAATTAGAATAAATTACTAGTAAAAAACCTGCAAGAAATGCAGTAAGATAAGCAGTGAAAGTCTTCTTGTACTCTAAAAGATAAGCAAACACAAAAAATACATAGTAAATAAAGAAGTAGTAACGAAGCAAGAACATTTTACACAAAAGGTAATTGTGAACTGAAAAGAGAACCAAGTAATGCAAACAATGCAGGCATTTACCATAACAACCAGTCTATTAACCAATTACATTTTTCTACTATTTTCGTATAAGCCAAAACCATCAAGTCCTCCTCTGTGTTCTTAATACAAAGCCACTGAAACCTATAAAAAAAAATAATTTACCTGCATATTGACTCTTTCAATCACACAAGACAGAACGTGAAGAACATGCATTTTGGTGTCACATTGTGTTACTTCTTGAAGTAGCTGGAAGAGCAGTGTAAACATGGATTCCAGATACTAAAAGAAAAATAAATAACTACAGATTAGACCATCAAAAATACAGCTGGTGACACAAATTGGTGATTTTCCTGTACACTTATGACTCTTAAGACATCTATGAACCTTGAAAGACACTTATAAAGTGTGCAAAACATTACTCTTCCATTTGGAAGAATGCACACCAGCCAATCACTGCCTAAACAAGATTTAAAAAAACCCAAACAAACAGATATGCTTCTACATAACTGTTCAAACGTGATCAGTTTGAACATACATAATATTCATGTTTTGGTAAGTCTAAACATGACTTCACATTATTATTAAATATTATTAAAGCTGAAGGCCGTCTCTCCAGAAGGAAAACTTCGTTAGGGTCAAAGCAAAAGGTACAGTCTTCCTGCTTTTGGTTCAGTAGATAAAATTTATATACTGAACTGAGAAAGACATCTTAAACAATTCCAGTGTTTAGAGTGTAGATGAACTCTGCACTTTTGTTTTGTTTGTCCTCAAGAGAGTTGCAAAATGGGAAGAGCACCTGCAACATTTGAGCGACCAAAATAAATCTTAGCCGTATTTATAGCTAACATTTCATTGTTTATGTAATGCCAACAGTAATGACCACCGTAAAGAATGCAAATCTAGGAGACAAGAAAGTCTGTTTTTAAGGCACTATTTTAACCACACACTCAGATTTAATATTTGTGTGAAACAGCAGGTTGGTTAAGTACTGTGTGGAACAGGCATACTGGAAATTGACATTGGTGCAGAGACATACTTGTTAAAAACAGCATTCACATTGTCTTAGCATGAAGAAACTTAGCATCTGGTAATACTTAGTATATATAGTACTAAACAGTGCTAGGAAGTTTTAATAGTCACAATACCAAAATGTTTTGAATTGTCTGTTTGCATATTGCACATTAGTAAACTTAACAGTAGCAGTAACCATTTTTACATGTTTTGGCCTCGAAGACTCAAAAAAAAAAATCCATACACACACACCCCCCCCGATCACTAAGTAGTGTGGTTCAAAACAAAATTGGATTTTTTTTTTTCCTGGTTTAAAATGACATCAGAAAATATTTTTCCCCTGCTTTCCTTTATGGATCTCTCTCCTCATCAGAATATGCCCACATAAATGCTCTTACCGGTAAGAACTGGTCAGTTCTGAACTCGAAGTCATCTACAGGTAAACAACCACTAAGGAAAAATAATACAGGTTGCAGATGGATACGAGACCCAAATAGGCAAATATGCCACGGATATACAAAAATTACAATGTGAAGAATTTGGTAGTAAGTTTAAAATTGCTTATTTTCCAGTAACTATGTATTAAGAACTAATCATAATTCTTTGCTGATAAAAGGATATTTAACTTCAGTGTTGTGGCTGTCTCGATACGGACCTGAAAGACAAAAGTCAAGAAGCATCACACATACATCCAATTAAACATTTTGATTATCAACATAGTATCTGATAATATCCAATCAGTTGCTGTTTCTGCAATTGAATTATTCTATGTGTTCTGTCATCCTTCAAGAAATTTAGTTACTTCAACTCAAACATTTTCATTTGCTTTCATTTTAGTAACCTTTACATGTTATTTGGCACTGCTACAGTGGTACCACCTGGAGAAATTACTCGGGCAAAATCTTCATGAAGATCAAGAAAGAATTAAACAAGAAGATATCTAGCCTGCGACAAAAATGCTTACAATAAAGAAGGAGTTTAACTCGGGATTATCTCCTGGCTTGCTGTCACCCAAAAAGCACAGAATCAAATAAACTCAACAAGTTAGCATGTTCTTCCCTAGCAGACGCTCAGATAGCACAAAGTGAAAAGTCACACCATTGGCAAAGAAACACATCCTGCTCTGCTAAAGCTGTCTGGAACCGCAGAAATAACTGTAATGACTGCCAGTTACTAATATTTAACTAACTAACTAGCTAGGTTTATTTGTTGGCTGCTAGGTCTGTTCATTTAAAAATAGAAACAAAAGAAACAATCACAAAACCAGCTTCTCAGCCTCACCTGCTGGTAAACTGAAATTGTAGCTTACAACCACAGAATTGTACTCAATCAGCTTAGCAACCAATGCCATTTACCATATTCTGCTAGTAGATAACTATGTCGATGCTCAAATAATACCAAACACTGCAGTGACTAGTCACAGAATAACCCTGTTTTATCTAAACGAAGTGTTCATTTGCTTATAAATTATTTATCTCAAGACACTTCACAGCTTCATTCTTACAAAAACCAGACTGTTGCTATTGCCATTCATTTTCTCACTGAAGTCATCACCTAGTGAACATCTTATGGGTTCATTTCATGTCTTTGACCTTATTGTTCAACATCTCCACAATTAAACACCCCCACAACTTCGCAACAGATTCTCCTTTGCAGGACACAACAGATTTTAAGGCGTGATGCTAGGGAATTCTCAATCAAGTTTACCCAAGGTATGGTATTTACATTTTGCCTGTGTTTACAGAACAAATGGGTAATCCAAAACATTATTTATACTTACCACTAAGTCCTGATCTTGAAGCAAGTTACAAATTGCCTCATATAAGACAGGTCTCAAGTCTGATTTGAATTTTACCGAAATCCACTGTCCAATCAGCCAAATTACTCGCCGGCGTATTGGTTTGTATCTTTAAAAGCAGAGGGAAAAAAAAATTTACTCATTATACTTGCTGTTCTAGAATACTTTGATGGAAAAAGAAATCTAAGAATCACTCAAAACAATTATTAAGAGTAAGTCTGTCAAGATCAACTTTAGAACTGTAGTTCAGAAACCTTTTTCATCAAAATTCTTCAATGACTGAATCTCAAGGGTCTCACTAGAGATACAGTTTATTCCGCACATAGCGCACCAATAAAAGAAACTAAAAATAAGTCTTACATTTACTACTGCCACCATGGCATCTACTGCTTTCACCACAGTTTCCAGCAATTTTCTTGCCATTCCTTTTATGCTCAACATTTTACATCAGGTACAATTCAAAAATGCAAATTTAAGCACTGCATTACAGCAACTGCCAGAGTATTTCATGCAATCAGTCTAAAACTATTCTCAGAAAGAAGTAACACCAGCACCGCAACAAGAGCACAGTTCAAACAGCTTTAAAGGCAATGGGAAGAAGTAAGAACTAGGCTGAATTGCCTAACATAATGATTGAGAAAAGTATTCCACAGAGTTGTTGTTTTTCTCCACTGATTATAAAAGCTGATCACGAAGATATAAATGTTTAACTTGCAGACATATGAAGTTAGGGAAGATGAACCCTATTCACAGAATTTTAACTACCAAATTATTTGCCTTGTTATCCTAAACGTATTTGTCATTTGATGAACTTCTGCCTTGTAAGCCCCCAAGACAGCAATTTAAACTGAAGTTGAGGCTTCTTTACACATTTAATAAATATGATTTATTAAACATTCACATAACCATGAGATAATTAACAAAGGACATCTTTAGAGAGCATGAAAGCTGTTGAAGAAGCATGTATACAGCAATTCCTTAGACCGGAACACAAAGCAAAAGAGGAATAACATTCTAGCGTTGCTTGCAATTTACTGAGTGGCAGTGAAGCAGGAACAACCCATGCTGAAGCATGACTTACACACGATGTTGCCTTACTAACATGTACTTCTATTTATTCAAGAAGGTGTGACAACACAACTTTTTCTGTTCTTAGAATGTTCGTGCCTGATACGTAACCTTTTAAAAATCAGAATATTAAAAAACTAAGAGCTCTTTCTTGAGATTGGCATTGGATAGTTTTCAAACCACTGACACAAAGAAAAGTTTTAAATGACACAATGTAAGTACCTGTCTGCTGACAGCAAGGATTTTCAGCTCTGGAGATATTTGTTTTACAATCCATACATCCTACCTGCATCTTTATAGTCTTTCTCTCTCCCTGGTAGAGAAAAGATACATGAGGCGTTTTTGTTTGGTTGGTTTTTTTTTTTTTTTTTGGGGGGGGGGGGGGGGAGCGGTGTACGTGTGTGCTTGGTTCAGGTTTTCTTGTTTGGGTTTTGGTTTTTAGTTTGGTGGGGTTTTTCTGTTTGTTCTTGTTTGTTTGTTTTTTTTTTTCAAAAAGGACTTCAGTTCCTAAAAATTCTTCTGCCCATTAAGTGCTCATTTTTGAGATCCTACCTTTTCTACATTCACTACTTCTGGGAAAAGCTCACCTCTTAGAACATCATTAGCTTTTACACTAGGAGCACACACTGACTAAGTATAACTAGATTGAGCCTGCTGGACCTAAAGCTCAAATGGGAAAAGCAACCATATTCCAAAATAAAGCAACAGTCACAGGACAGTAGCTTTAAGCAGTCAGTACAGCATTCAGACATTCAAGTCAAAAAGATCTTACTTGA